AGTGAGGTTATGTTTTACATTGATGAATTGACGTTGACATATGTATAGCTCTCCGATCTGAATAACAGAACTGTCTATAATTAATGACAGTAGACAGTAACAATTTATTACTAATTCCTTACGGAAAAAATAGACATAATTCTAGTTACACCCGCGAATTATTTCTTTCAGTGTATACTCTGATGTATTTATGAAAAATGTCTACACAACACTGTTCAGTTGCTGGACTGACGGTAGCGCTAACGCCACGACAAACTTTGAAACATAATTTCACGGAACGCCTAGACAGTACCATGAGAATAACTGGACAGACAGAACTTCTATACAGTAATAATCAATAAGTTCAACTTTAGAGTGTTATGCAGTAGCTGTCCAGTAATTCGCCAGTTGAGCTAGAAAAGATGAAAAAGGGAACTGCTTTACCTGCCGGTAGAGTATGGTTCTTATTTTTCCGGAATCGTCCATCGACTAGAACGGCCGTGATGCGTAAAGCGTGCGTTTAGGTATTTCGTCCCAGTGTGACCCGAGTTCGCTCCCCGAAACCGCTAGATATTTTTCGTTTGATCTGAATTAATTCTTCATATTAGGGTTTACTTATAAGTTTGTAGTGTGATAAAATAATAATATTTATTTCAGTGTTGTGCTTAATTAAAGGAAAAAGTGAATGTTGTTTAATGTAAAAAAATGACATGTGTTCAAGAATCAGTAATTTTTATATTTTTTTTTAATTATGTAGTTATTTAAAAATAATTTTACAGATAATTTATTATAAATCATTTATTATACGGAACAATAGATACACCAACAGTAAAAATATAGTTTCGTAAAATTTTAATTTATTTAATTTGTTGACAAAAAAATTTAACGTTATATTTTCAAATTTGTACGTGTTTAATACGTAACGTCAATATAAAGAAAGTTTTGACATTTCCAAGTGAATTATTTTGTATAGTTTTTCTACAGGACTGATGATCAGAAACTGTAAAATTTGACTGGACAATAACTTGAAGAAATTAGCGTGACATCACTTTATAGTTTTTAGCCAGTTTAACTGTAAAGTGCCTCGAAATTTTCCAGTGGAACTGTCCAGTGCCCTTAAAGATACTATGACAAATTTCTACTAGGGTTATATGAACTTAAGAAAGAGTATTTTCATAAAATAAGTAAATTTTTATAGCCATTTGTAGATTTATTTATGGATAAAATCAAGTAAATTTAAATTTGATAAAAAAAAGATAAACCTTGAAAAATTTGGACAAAGCAGGAAATTTTTTTAAACAAAAATAGATACCGTGTTTAACTTTTTTCTTTACATTGCTAAAAACATCTCTAAAAGTTAAATCTAGAATTAAAATAAGAAAATGTTTTAACATATAAGTTTTTACTTATAGTATAGCATATAATATGCTTGTATTGTATCACAGGTGACTTACAATTCTTGACATCCTGCAATATCATTTTAATCATAAAAAATTTCCATTTTCAATATTTCTGAAGTTTTTGCAAATATATTGGATTAATTTGATAAATAATTCTGAAAAACATTATTTTGACGTCAAAATATTAATCAGAGATTCCAAAAATACTACTGAATTAAACTTCGTAGTAATTGCTGGTATTGAGTTTTTGGTATTGAAAATATTTTTATATTTACTTATTGGATAGTATTTTTTACAAAATTATGCTAAAATCTGACTAAATAACATGTAATATTCAATTTTGGAAAGTTTAAAAGCTATCCATTAAAAAATGTAAAATTTGGAAATTTTCGATTTTTTGAAGTTTTTGAAAATATTGAATATCTCCTGTTCTAATTAATATTTTTTAAATCTGTAAATTTATAAACCTTCCTTCGGTCAATACCTAATAACCTACCAAGTTGGACTTAAATCGATTCACATGTTTTTGTGTGATTAGGGTACAAAGTTTTTGTGACAGACATACATACATATATACGTACATACATACATATACATTAAACTTTTTAAGAATATTTTTGGAATCTCTGATGTCCATAATATAACTAATCATGTTAACATTTAGAAGTTTTAAGCAATGTACAGACAGACATCTGATTTTATTAATAAGGATTCGATTTTCTGCTTTACAGAAAATAGTGCATGTGTCTGTGTGTGTGACGATCCCTTTTTTTGTAAACACGATAACTCTAAAAGGTTAATTTTAACGAATTTGGATAAAATTGCTATGTATGTTTATTATATAAATATCTCAAAATAGATAGAAAATTTTTTAAAAATCCTCAGAAAAAATGTTTTTGACTCTTATAAAAGAATTCATGTTTTTTTAAATTTTTTATGTTGGGCATTGAAGCTAATATTTATAATAAAATTGTATTCATTGCATTATAAAGAATTAATTAATAAATAGTTTATTTAATGTTAATGCTTCCTCTCAAGGAAACAAAATGTTCATATAATGAATATCTGGTTTTACAACTTGTTTACACTACTTTTACACTACTTGGTTTAGAAAAATATGTTATAGTGGATTTTGGGATCACTGAATCCAAACTTAATGTCAATTTTTAAAATTCAAAATAGTTGATCCAATATTCTAATTTAATTTCAGATTTCTAAAATTTCAAATGGCGGATCTAATATGGTTCCAAAATATACATTAAATATATGTCCAAAATGAGAATTTGATTTCAATGAAAAACCTATTCTACAGGTTACTCTTTTAATCTGAACCAATGGTTAAGCTTTGAAGAGATTAACGCAGTGAGAATTGAGCCATTGAATTTAAATCAGTTAAATTAAATTTCAGTCACTGTTCAATTTAAGAGTGAAGATATTTCACCTGATTCGATTTAGATAATCTCCAAAAGTGAAATATATTTAAAAATTGTTTCTACGTGCCTACTTACATACTTAGCCCAAAGTAGTTGTGAATACTGTCCACGCGTTTCGGTTTGTCACATAGTCACATCAGTTCAGATGTAAAGGCTGGCGTTTTTTCATCAGATAGAGGCGACAAAAATATTCGGAGGTTATGAGAGCTGGAGAACGATAAAGACACGCGATGACATTATCCACCTCCAAACTTAGTATTCGCGCTGCATAACGGCCTTTGCTCGACCAGATGGCAGTAAGAAGAGATTGGGACCCGGTCGTGCAAATGCAAGACATGCCTCTTTTTACTCGAACCCGTTTCTTTTATCGCCATCACTATATCAAATTCTTATTAATTCACCGTAATGTGACCCAAGATTCCACACAAGTCTGCTACTTTTTCGTATAACATGTACTGGAAAGTGTCTGGAAAGTCAACAGTGTACAACAACGCAATGTAACATTAGTACATTCTCTAAATTTAAAATAGCCAACTCATACTGATGATACATTGAATATCCGGAAGCAAACTAAATTTCCGCTTGCCCGAAGTGAATCATTCGTGAGCAGGACATTTTCTTGGAAATGCGGAATCCTCCCTTTTTTGATTTTACAAATTGCCAACTTGATCTGAAGAATAATGTGATTCATAGCAAATATATGTGTCAAATAAATTCTAAATCCACAGGTTACAAGGTTAAGGTTGAATACGTGTGTATGTCCATAAATGCGGTGAGTGAACTGTGATTTTAAAACAAATTCTTTTCACAAGAGACTCACAGCTCATAAGACAAGAATCTTGACCACTTCTCACAGCAGCGGTACCTTTGATGTTTGTGCTTCAATCCCCTTATTCTGATCTATTCTCGTTTTTCCTGGACATTTTTTTGTATGTAACTGTAAAATATTTGCGGCGTAATTGATGCAGAAGGATTGCACTTGTGTTGCCATGAAAATGAAAAATTGAGTAAATATTTGAGCGTACAATTTTTGATATTGATATTATACAGTGAAAATTGAAAAATGATTCCATCGAGTTTAAAATAAGGGGAAAAAATGGTGAGTGAAATTTTTAAATGAGACTAAGTGAATAGCATTATATCTTTACTGTATCTTATAATATGAATATACGAAATACTTGGTAAAAGCAGATGGAAGGAAAGAGTAGTCATCGTCAAGACCTAATTAGCGTAGCTACCTCTCACGAGCGAGCTGAGCGTTCAAATGAGTGCACGAAGTACACTGAATCGTGAGAAAGAGAAGGACGGATAAGGACGTAGGTGGTCTTGGTTGCGTTAGGAGCAAAAGGGTGTTGGAACCATTAGCGCAGATGCCTGTCCGAAGCGGCCAGAATCCTTTTATCCCAAGAACAGGGATTCCTTCCAGATTCCACTGCGTTATCATCGCGTGCAGAGCGAAAGAGAAAGAGACTGGAGGAAGAAATGAAAAGGAAAAGAGATGAGATGAGATGAGATGAGATGAGAAGAAGGAACGAAGAAACAGAGAAGAAGATGAAGAATAAAGAACCAGATTTAGCAGACTACTTTGAGCTGTAGAGGCCACGCATCAAGTACAGGCCTCCCACGATATTCTCTTTACAAGTTTATGAAGTTGTTCAATTCAGGCGCTCGGTTTCCAAGGTATTTTACTTCTTTTTCTCTTAAATCTACTTTAACTTTCTTAGTGTTTTGTAATGGAAAAATATCAATTTTCATTTCACTAGAATTCATACATATTTGTCTCAGAGCAAAATAAACGCAATATAAACGCAAAATAAACGCAAAATAAACCTTTATTTTTGTCAAATAACAATTTTTACTTTAAACACTTGGAAAGTAGAGGTTCTGAGGAAAATATACTTTAAATAAATTAAATATATGGTTTAAATGAAATATTTTTATTGAAAAAAATATAAAACTTATATTGACAAATATTTATAATAGAAATATGTGATGAATTTTTAGCTTCTATTATTACTTCACATCAGATAAAAATTAACATAAAATTGTAGAATATGCATGCTATTTCTGAGTAACTCGAATTAGAAAAATGCATGAATGAAAATTGCAAGTCGAAATATAGTTAAGAATATTGTATATAGGTATGTAAAAAACAACATATTAATATCATTCTTTCGTTTTTATTTTCTTTAAGAAATAATGAATTGCTTTTTTATTTTGCGTATATTAAATATATTTACAAAGCCAACTGGCACGGAGAATATTACGTTTATACAGTTTTAATCATTTATAACATCACTATTTACAATTTTGCACTTACGTAACTACTTAGTTTTTTTACTTCTTGAGTATGTATTAAATAAATTAATTCGAAAGTATCCTTTTGGTTCGCATATCGCAGTAGGACACATTATAAACTTGAAGTTTCTTAAAATATGCGAAATGCGAAACTATAATAAGATATTAACAATCGTATGTACAATGGCAACTCGAAAATTAGCTTTTCGAGACAATTAGTGCTTAAAGTAAAGTATAAAATGCTTTCCCTTTCAGTCTTTAGTACACGTCTACAAACATCGCAATAAATAATTATTTATTTCGTATAATACTGGGCATTGTTGGAGCCTGAGTTTAACAAGAATAAAAACTCTTCTCCGTATACTCTATGTGTCATTACACTTTTGACTCAAGTTGTACAATAAAATAATAATAATAATAATAATAATAATAATAATCTCGAAACCGATTTAACCGGTTAATCTCGTCTGCTTTATAAACTATGAAGCAATACAATTTATCTCTACATTGACTTGGCTGTATAAATATTTTGTTTTTATTTTTTCCTCTTTTTTGTCATCAGAAATTAAAAGAGACACCGATGACACAATCTAACTTCATAAACAAGTATGTACCATTTTCTTTATCGCGCAAACGTCGCATTTAACTTCACAGCACCAATGAAATACGCAATTACATCTCTCAATAACAATAATTTCTTGCGATTTATACCCTCTGCCACAACACATGAGGTCACAACCGTCAACACCTATGCTAGTGTCATTACACTGCCTTCCATGAGTACCGAGAATACCCAGTTTAGAATTCTTTTCACAAAACGGTGGTGATGATTCAAGGTATACCAAGTCCTTTTGCCCCGGAGGCTTGTGTTCGGGATTATATGGTTTTAATTGAAAATTGTACCTATGCTTTCTGCCCAAACCGTCTCTGTGCCCATGAACTAAATTACTGGCTGAATTGCTCATTATCGCGTTGCTGTTATCACGCAATCTGTCGGAATTACTAATCATCACTCTGGACGCACCATCAAAGCGATCTTTGAGATTATCACCTACTACCCTGAAGTTTGGTAACCTCATCCAACATGTCTTCACTGTGCAGGAACCAGACATACCATGACATTTGCACTCTTGATGCATTCCTGCTGAAACATGCTGTAACAAAAGAAGCACATTTTTCACTTTATCACTTTATCACTACATATTCAATTGAGTGATGCATTTTAATTAAGGAATCGAGCATATATTGTTCAAAATTTATCTCATCCTTTGTTTCGAGTTGAAACACTTTAGTTTAATATATATAGTTAACATGCATATTCCTGTGTGTACTTTAATGTATTCAGGAATTAACACTATTCTCAAAACATACATTTTTGTCAATATTGTAATGGTCTGCTGTTGAAAGTAAAAATATTTTAATGAAGCTTATTGTTAGTAAAACAATTCCCATGTGTAAAGAAATTCGTAAAATTGACGGAAAGCACTTCCGGAAACTGTTCCACGTGGATTATTACAATAAGTAGAGAATTGAATTTTGCGAATTCTCTTCGCGTTGAATAAAACTGATTATTTTAAGTGAATACTATATATGTGAATAGTAACTTACGGCTCTACCAGCTTCATTATTATGCAGATTCATTTTCTCTCGCAAATTTCGTCCTCGTTCACCGGTATCAACAAATTCTCTCGAGAATTTAAATCCATAACCAATATTGTCGGAGCATCCTCCCCATTCCCAGTCTCGAATAGTGGAAGGAGCTCTTGATTGGTGAGTATAATCACAAGAACAAGATTGAATGCTTCCCTCACTACATGCTCTTGCAATACTGTGTGTTACTGCAGCACTAGTGATAGCATAAATAAAAGCTGTCTCTCGACATCCTGAAACAAAATTATTAGGCATTTTCAATACAATTACAGAAAATTGAAAAAAACATCAATAATGTTTTTACAGTTACAACAACATTTTTTCTTAGATTTTAAAAATAAAATATTCAAATCTTCTAAGAACTACAAGACACGACACTACCCGATTATCAAAAAGAATTTGACCTGACTTGTCTTTGAGCAAAGGTTTAGGTGTCTATGAAACTAAGAAATCACGCGGGTATCTTTTTCAAGCGTTCTGTAAGACAGATAATGGTCCGTATCTAATTTTGAACTGAGGTCCGCATTCGTCACAAGATAGTCTTTTCACGGTAGCGCACGGTAGGTCTCTCTCCCAAGAGTAAAATATTCACGTAGATAAATTAAAAATGGTAGTACTATACACATATTTTCTAGGAGAAAGGAAGGAAAAGAAAACAGAAAACGAATTATGTCAATCGATTTTCTCAATCTTTATATGAAGCAGAGAGGCAGAGAGGCAGCGAGGGAAAATGGTAGCGCAGTCAATAGCCATCAGTAGAAAAAGAAAATCATCATGGAAATGAAAGTCCTCTTTACTATAGCTATAGGTTATAGGTATAAAGTGACAACTACAGTTTAAAATTTACGCCGTTCCGCTTTGTTATGTCTTACAGAGCAATCTGCCCGTTAAATGTGACTGGTTCCACCTATTGTTTGAAATGATACCGAATTTACCGTGACCGAGACAACTTATGACTGAGTATAACTTGGAATGTTTTTCGATTATTATCGAATTTCACGAGAAAATACATCTTTATAAAGAATCTTGCTATCCTCATAATACATAGATATTCAGAATATATTTTAAAAGATCATTTATTGACATATTGCAGTCGATTCAATCAGGAAATAAATTCTACTCAAGTATTCTAATAGTTGATATAAAACTTGATTTGTATAATAACTAAATTCATTAGTAAAATCATCAGATAAAAAAATCTAAAGACAGTAAATACCCCTTCAGATGAGAAAACATTAAATCAGCAATTTGGCTCTCAAACTTTCAAACTCACATATACAGATGATTCAGTTGTATAGTATCAAAAGTGTAAAACTCTATTATTTAGAAACGTCACAAAGAGATAATTTCTTCTTTTCAGTAAATAAAAAGCTGAAGACATATAATTTCAAATGAATGAAATGCGTAAATATATTTCGCATATGACCGAGTTTTTTAACATCACCGCACTGTATATGTATATAATCTGCACACGTGTATAAGCTTAACGCGGTGGTCCATGGATGACAACTTTCCCTTTCACTTTTCGTTATTTCATTAGTAACTTTTTACTAATTCAGATTTAGAGAGTACATAATATTTGCTATTGCCTTTTATGAAATGTCCAAATATTCTGGGTTACAACAGTTAAACATGGTTGTAATAATGATCGATATAATTCATATCATTAAATAAGTTAACCTAGTTTCAATAAATCTTAATATTTTTAAATTTTAACCTGCTATTCGTTTTCTTACTTGTTAAATCTTCATCTCATGAGGCATTTTCTGAAGGAGTTTGAAAATGTTTAGACGTTTTGAGCAAACTATAGAGTTTTCGCATTATTATGTAACAATAATAACTGCCGGCAAGCTGAACAAAAGTCTTTTAAATGTAATATTCCGAATGTTTGAAATGATTTCTCATTCTGAGGACAATAAATAGTTTGACTTTATCAATGTGTTCAAACAAGCATGCAGGAGGAGGTGCAATGCGAGTGAGAGCAAACATCATAGTTGGAAATTCCAATCTTTTACGAACCGGTATAGGTGTACATATAATGCTTGACTTGTCAACAGGTGTTTCAGAGGTTTTATGTCAGCCGACATTTATCGGTCGGTACCTAAAGCTGAGGCTTTAGCAAATGTCTGTGAATATACATGAAAGCCCTATTAATAACCTCTCTGCTGGCTTTTATCACGCTAAAAGTTTCATGACTCATGATATTCTCCTCTCTTAATTATATATTGCTTAAGTTGGTAGATATAATTATTAAAAATTTTCCACATTTCTTTCATTATTAGTATCATACATTTTTCAAAAATATACTAGTGCAGGCTTAACTAAATTCACGATATTCAAAAAATTATAATTATTTTACTTATGAAAATAGTAGTATATACTCTCTAAAACTGAATCAGTGAAATTTGACTGACAATCAGTGACTCTATTCTCGCGATTTGAATAAGTGAAATTTCACTGAAGATCAGTTAAAAATGATTGAAATTTCAGTCATTTTTCACTGATTGGACAATTAAAAAATAACTGAAATTTTCAGTAGTTTTTTAATTGGCGAATCAGTGGAAAATGACTAAAATTTCAGTTATTTTTAAATTTTAACTGATTTTCAGTGTAATTCCACTGATTCAAATCGCGAGAATAGAGTCACTGATTCAGATTTAGACAGTATGTGAATAAGGATGTGGACCAATTTTCTGTAGCTTCAAATTTTGCATTTTCGAGGTGCGACGCCACTTAAACTTATCTGTAGGAAAATTAGCTTGTCAAAATATAATAAATGAGGTATCATTGGAAAGGTTATTAAATCACCTTTTGATCCATAGGTCACAGAATAAAATTCAACAAAAATTGAGAGAGTTACAGTCGATTAAAGATGAAATTTCATGACAATTTTGATGATTTTTAGACATTTGAGTAACTTCTACTATTTTTTTCTACATCAAACAGGAGAGAATGTTTAGGTTTTAATTTTTTTATTGATAGACTATATCATTACACAAATTTTGAGCCCTTGTAGGCCTCGATTGGATTAAAAATGACAATTCTACACTAAATTTAGTGAACGAAACTACATTCTTCATTTTTAATATGCCTTAAACATTTGCAGCAAAAATTGAAGTAATAAAATTTAGTTAAGCGCTAAAGTTACTAAAATCACTAATCAAGAGTTTCTGAAGTCGTAGATTTCGAATGCAATGTTAGTTTTACAAATTTCAAAATGGCGGATTACGAATCCGATGTCAGATTTCGAAAATTAAAAATGATGGATTCATAATGGTGAACGAGTTTTTTAAAATTCATCGAATTCGCACCTATTGGATCCGCCATTTTGAATTTTTGAAATCTGATATCGGATTCGTAATCAGCGACCCCGAAAACCTCCGAGTAACGAGTTTAAGACAAATATTATCGATTTTTAAAAACTTGTCCGCCATATTAAATCCGCCATTTTTAAATTTGCAAAACTAACATTGCATTCGAAATCTACGACTTCAGAAACTCTTGATTAGTGATTTTAGTAACTTTAGCGCTTAACTAAATTTTATTACTTGAATTTGTAGTTTCGTTCACTAAATTTAGTGTAGAATTGTCATTTTTAATCCAATCGAGGCCTACAAGTGCTCAAAATTTGTGTAATGATATAGTCTATCAATAAAAAAAATTAAAACCTAAACATTCTCTCCTGTTTGATGTAGAAAAAAATAGTAGAAGTTACTCAAATGTCTAAAAATCATCAAAATTGTCATGAAATTTCATATTTAATCGACTGTAACTCTCTCAATTTTTGTTGAATTTTATTCTGTGACCTATGGATCGAAAGGTAATTTAATAACCTTTCCAATGATACCTCATTTATTATATTTTGACAAGCTAATTTTCCTACAGATAAGTTTAAGTGGCGTCGCACCTCGAAAATGCAAAATTTGAAGCTACAGAAAAACTGCACGAGGGAAAAAAATTAAAACTATGATTTTCTTACTCAAAAAATACCTACTATTCGAAAAAAAATGTTTTGTTCGATTGACAATTTCACTGTAAACCAGTGATTATCTATAAGATATGAGATTTAAATTCATTGATGAATCATCACATATAAAATAACAAATCATTCATTTATCACATTTTTCAAACAACGTGCATGTCACCACATAAAGATTTAAACAACTCTATATCCGTCGACTTATGTCTCTTGTTCCTTCCTGCCTTTGTAAATATGAGAAGAACATATACCAAGCCGGATTGAGTTTTCAGTTGTTGTACAGTCCAAGCGAGTGACCTCTGAATAGTTGCTGGTCAAGATCGCCCTGAATGACATCGTGACACAACTTTATAAAGAAACATTTAAGTTTACTAAGGTGGAATCCCATAGAGATCAAGCCGCTAGGAATTATATTTCTACCGCGCCTATCAACTTAAAGTACATTCACATAAATAATAGCAGGCAATTTTTTTAAAAGTAATAATATTTTTCATAATCTATTGGAATTTAATAGTAGGTTGTACTATTCAAAGAATGATATGTTAATTATGAAACAATATCTAATAATTTTGTCGCTTCAAATGAAAAGCTTCTGATTAAATGAATAAAATATATTTTATTGAGCAAACAAAATGTTGCTCAGTAAGAAATATTACTGGTGATGTGACAGATATTTGAAATTTACTGTGGATCGTATTTTAATTAAAATTAGGGGAATAGGTTCGGTTGTGGGCATAGTTTCGTTTTTGACTTATAACTTATTGTGTCCAAGTAGATATTAAACGAACATATGCATATGTATTTAAAGCTAGCGGGACCTTAGCTAACTATACTGGTGAAGAAACTAAACTGATTCTGTCGAGTAGAAAAATTTTATTAAAAATTTAATAAAGTGGTCATTTTTCTAACAAAGAAAATTTGGGTTCGGTTGTGAGCACTCTTGAAAAATCTACTAGCTACACTCAGAAAAAGAGTTGGCTGGCATAGCCAATTAAATAGTTGCTATAGCGCGATCCAATTAATTGGATCATTACATACACAGCTGGGGTACCTTTTCGCATGAAAACAGTATCCAATAGTTGGATGTGCTAACCAATTAATTGGATCGCGCTATAGCAACTATTTAATTGGTTATGGCAGCCAACTCTTTTTCTGAGTGTACGAGCGACGCATAAAAATCAAAGTCTTGTTACATTAATTTCCGTGCTGGACCACGAAACTCTTAAAATTCATAAAACACTATTAAATATATTATAAGAAATTACTTACGATCATATCGACAAGGATATTTCACGATTTGTCAAGAATAATAGTGGTGTCCACAATCGAATTAATTTGAGTGCTCACAACCAAACTTTACCATCATTTTAAAACGTCATGAAAAAAATTTTGCTTGTGAACATTGTTGTGATACTTGGTATTGGATCACAAAATATAACATATTTACTGTGTAAATACGCATTGAACTTATCATTTTAATTAATTCACTTCGATTTGTTGAACATTTAATAATGTTTAAAAATACATGTTTGTTATATTGAACGTGTCGAAAAATTAATTTATATATAGTAAAAAACACAGGTGTCCAATAACTTTTGTATTCGCATAAAAAACTATGTTCGGTCATAGCACACACATGATATTTGTCAGATTTTAGAAATCTCATTTCTGTCAAAAGTTCTGCGGGGGTGTCCATAACCGAACCATGCCCACAACCGAACCTCTTCCCCTTATAATAACATTAGCCGGAGAGAAATTAACCTTCCCTCCCCCTCGTCCGAAAAGTTATACTTTTCTCCCACTATACAGGTTAGAAATGGTGTACTTTCAGTGTGTGTGTAAGAAAAAAATTTTTTTGAAACCTGACAAATTTCATGAAAATTGAATAATTTTCATTTTCATAATCTATTTCACAATACTATAATTATACTATTACGGTTTAAGTATGGAATTCGCTCATTACCAATATAGTTTTACATCTAACCTTAATATGGGAGTTAGATTTTTTGACCGTGGCGTTGAAAAGTTGAGATGATTTCAGCCATCATGAATCAGTTTGCAGCCATAGTTCTAAAATTTACTCTGTAATTTACTTTACCTCAACAATAGTGCATATATACTATTATATCAAAGCATATAATTTCAATATTATTGGTCATCAAGCTGAAAGTATTTTCTTTATAAAGTACACCATATAAGTTGAAAGAATGTTGTGTGTCTTGAGTAACTGAGAAGGCATCCAAATCACATGCAACTCACTTTAAATTCATCTCACGTTTTCATAAGAAACTGGCGTGTCGTCGACACATGTAGCACATCATAGACGTCGATTTATAGCTGTGTAACGCCTCAATAAAAACCAGCTGAGTTCCATATAAGACATGTCTTCATATATATGTATATATATATATATATATTTATTGTTCAGTTAAACCACCTCTAATTGAACTTTTTTTAAATGATAGATTGAATTGATTACAATTAAATCAAAGACATCGTAAATTCACTTAAAAATCATGTGAAAAATCTTTAATAAAATTTGTCAAAAATAATTATATCAAGATGGAATGCTCTGTGCTCGTTTTAATCTGTAAAGTTAATAAGGGACTGTCGATATTTCAGTTCTTTAATACAAACTTTATATTGAACATGTATATAATGATAGATGGAACAAGTTTAAAACATTACAAGTATAAATATAAGAATTGATGTTTGAAACTTGTTGACATAAGTGCATAACTTAATCCCTGAAGCGTTTTATAAAACGTGCCCTTGAAGAAAGTAGGTCCTAGAACTTTAATATAGATCAACTTGTTACAAAAAAGATGTAAATAAATTTAACGCTCTCATAGTATTTGGAATGCTACAGTTTGTAAAACGATAGATTATACCCTTTGCAAATTTAACAGATCGACAGTTACCACGCCACTTGGTTCGCGACCCTCGCTTGTCCAACTACTATTCGTCCGTAAATCTAAATCTGAGATACCACCAGCAACCATTATACTGCTGAACAATGGGATGTTTTTGTCGCACGTGAAACCAGTCTATCTTATCGTTCTTTACGACAGGATTATAAACCTTTCTACTTGCCGCATCCTTAACTTTTGCAATAAATTAAAAACTTCATTTTCCAGATGAATTCATGATTTTAATCTTTAAAATGAAGGTTATATTCTTGTATGCAAAAGAGATATTAAATAGAAAAGTAGATTTAAAAAAATATATAAGAGTTTTATCTCACCTCGATCGACGATTTTGCCAAAGAGATTTTTTCCCCTAAGAAAATTCTTAGTTGAACAATTCCACCGACGGTTACGAAACTGATGCTGACATTCTAAGATAGCCTGCTTAGCACCCCTCTTTACGGCGCTTAGAACCCCGGGATTTTCTCTCGCAAGTCTTCTCTGCTTTCTTCTGAGTGTTGCATAAACTGCTGGCTCAATATGTAGAGATGTTGGAGACATTGGTAAAAGATTGTTTGGTTCTCCAGCTTTCGCAATACCCCTGAAAGATAAACAACTTTTATTTTCAAATTCATAATTTCAATTCTATTCTCACTCGAAACAAAGAGTGCAAAGTCTCTCTGTAGATTTAAAATGACAGAAATTTTCGAAAAAAGTTAACGCGCTCATTTGCAATGTATGGATGGATATTTTCTTTATTTATGGGTGTCTGCACTTGAAGAGAAGTAGTTGTTATTGCCTTATGTGTTACAATTAGAGGGGAATGAATTGTTCGAAAGTGAACAGATGCACGACTACTGTTTGAGGGAGACTTTTAAAATGCTCACAGCGGTTATATGCATACAACTGATAGACATGTTTCAACAGAAATTTAAATTAATACACATTTAAATAAATAGCTTCAGTTTGTCTACATACATTTTTTCAAATATCTCGCAGGTATTTATCTTCTTTAAATAAAATCAATTCTTAGTAATAATTTTCAAATATGTTTCCCATTTATTGACATATGTTTCTCGCAGGTTTGTCCACATCTTCATGAATTATAGTGCAACTACGTTACTGCAACATTATAGTTAAACATAACGAAGCTTTTGTTAATGTATACTTTTGATATAGAATTGAAACATAAAAAGTTATTACCAATCTTTTAAACACAGACACAATATTAAATATATGTTACAGTTTTCAAGAAATGTTGACTGTTCAACCTCCCCTAATTAATAATTGGATTAATTACATTTGTTTTAATTATGACAAAGTTATATTTTAAATGTATATAATTTAATGTGGAACACTTTGTAGTTTGGTTTTCAACAATAAATGAAAAATTAAAGGTCAGAACCACTTTTAGAAAATTGCGATTATCTCCTAAAATGAAATCAACAAGACATATTACAAAAATTAAAATATATAGAATTTAGAAAGGCATTGTTATTACATCTTTGAACTCAACTAGGGTAAGTGCGGGTATAGTCGGACAGTACTAGTAGTCGGACACTTTCGTGTTTTTTGTCAAATAAATAATAATGCATTGTGATAATTACTTTAAAAAGTATACTAGACGAATGTGTGAAGTTTATATTTTATTAAAATAGTGTTATTTTCGAAAATAATTAAACAAGAAATATTTTATTTAATGTTTTAAAAATCATGGTGTCCGACTATAGATACAACCATTTTCGAGTAGCGCGATGAGTGGCACAAAGTTTTGTTGATAATTAATCATAAATATTAAAACTTATAGGGTTTAAATATTATATTAATAACTTCTAATTTGCTTTAATTCCATTTTCCAGCAGATAGCAATTAAAAAATTATCTGTTTTACTTTATAAATCCAAAATATCTGACAGATGTCCGACTATAGAAACAAGGGGAAAAAGTGTCCGACTACTAAAGCATTCGTAATTTTTTATTAAAATGTTTATATTTTATTAAATACTCAACTATTTGTAACAAATTTATATGATTTTTAATCCTGAAGAACTCCTTTAATTAATAATGTGCTTATAAACACAGTAGATATTTGCTATTTCAAGAAAAAAAGCATAATTTAAGATTGTATCCTTAAGTGTCCGACTACTAGTGCATTTACCCTATAAATATTCTAATGAAATAAATATTAAAACTTCTGGTTTTAAGGCGAAATTACACTTTAAATTTAAAGTCTTTAAACAGATCTATTCTACTATCAATAATTATGTCTGTTTATGGCATTAAGGCTGATTCTGACATACAATTTCAGTACTTGCAATACTTTCTTCAGTGTGATTATTCAGTAAGCAAAGCTTCATGTCAATCATAAGGAATAAGCAAGCGCTCCGCATAAGTCCGTTTCTCTCCCACTTATATGGTCGCTGTGACTGAGATATTTATGTTTGAATTAAACAAACTGTTTTCTCAGTGTATATGTTTATTTAATTATATATAATAGCCAATTATAAGAGTCATGTTAAGAGATTAAATAATGTGATAAGTAACATATTAATAGTTTATTAATTTCACTAATTCTTTATTAAGGGACTATAATGTATTATATTTATATTTAACTTTCAACTGTGCAAGCAACCGCGACTTGAAGAAAGAATCATTCATCAATTCAATGAATCATATATTAGCAGCGTACTTTTTTTAATGTCGTCAGAACTGATTTTACTTTAAGAAATGCTGGATAACTTGTAAATCGATCGCGGAAAGAATTCGAACCGTCGAAGGAGAATGAAATAGGTCCATCGTTTTTTACGCTTCACCTCTGATGCTTTATGGAGTCGTTCGATTTTTTTATGGTTTACTCCATCGACCATCGTTGTACTCATGACATACAGTACCTGCACATAGTTGTTGTAAAACCTAAACAGGACTGTACGTCAACATATATATACATACACCCACGTGTACGGACATTCGTGGGGTTACACAACTTTACGAAACCTCTAAACTTTGTAATATCCACTGGCACATGTTCCCGGAGGTTTGTGGAATCAGCACATGTACATGCTCTTATACGATCCATTCAATAAGTAGTGTCCATAAATAAATCGTGCCCTGGACCGGTTAGAATATCGGTTGTAACTCACGTATAGGCTAGTGAATCTCCTAAAGTTGCCTTATGCGCATACCTTTTTCTTCATTTTTTTCATACTTGCTATCAGGGAATTGATTTTAATTTCAAATATATTCATTACCTATACTTTTTAAAAGCATTTTGAGGTTATGTTTTCTTATTTTTACCAAATAAAAGTTTCTGTTCATTTATGTAAGACTGAAATAAGCTTTGATTGACTATTTTATAATATATATGTAATGAAAACTCAAGAAAGCAGTGGTTTATATTCAGAGTTGATCCCTTTTTGTGCATTTTTGTTCAAAAAATTACAATCTTAACTAAAAATTATTTTCTACTTGGGTAGGGGGGAGTGGGGTAAAATGGGGTACCTTTTTGAAATTGGCTGTTTACAGAGAACCAAACGAATAAACCGATTCAGCTAAACTTCAGAATTTATTCTTCTTTGTACACTTAGCTTTAAGGAAATTATGCGATAATAGCGAAGAAAAAAAATTTTGAAAGATTTTATACCGTATTTTCTGAGAAAGTGCTAAAATCCCATTTTGCCCCACCCGTGGGGCAAAAATGGGGTGGTATCAAATAACAATACAAAACATGGAATATATTTTCAAAATTCATTAAATTCTTGTTGTATGAGATTATAAATACAAACAAAAAGTAGGATTCTTTATTACTATGAAAAAACAAGTCATATTTTTATTAAAATTTAACAAAAAACATCGATAATGCAAAATATCGATATATCGATAGTGAAACATCGATAGTATAAATGCCCCACACTTAGGTACCCCATTCTGCCCTACACCGCATATTAAAACAAAATGTAATGTTTCGAAGTTATTATAAACAATTTAACAATCTATTCTATTGAAAATTACTCTAGAATAAGTGCTGAAAAAGATCCCACACTTGCAAAATTAAATGCATTATCCCAAAAAGTTTTGTAAGCACTTCAATTTCGATAAACATTCATACTTTTTTTGCTTAAAACTTAAAAGTTGTATAACTTTCAAAAAAAAAAATTTTTTGAAGTGTCTTCATAATTAATAACAGTTTCTTATCAACATGAATGATATATGTCGAGGATAAAAAAATTAAAAGTACCTATCATGGAAAAACAGAGGTACCCCATTTGACCCGCCTACCCCATTTTGCCCCACTCTCCCCTACCCTTTTTCGGAGCAGGACACAAATACTTTTATATATATATATACTTCTCTAAGAATAAATCAGGCCAATCTACAAACTATGATGATGTTACCAAGCTCCTGCTAATATTGGCGAAAAAGCACCGAGAATACGTAAATACATATATAGAAACCACGATTTAAAACTTTGAATTTAAATACTGAACCAATATTGTCTTAAGAATTAATTTCGATTAGTTTACTTTCTTGTTTCGTTAAATATTTGAGTTTCACGCCACTATATATATATATATATACATTATTGGCATGTTAGTTTTAATCAAGTTGAAATTGACAACTCGTCAAAAATAAGTGAATCGTCAAGATTATATTATTATATTTGTTTCATAATTAGAATTAGAATTTTTATTCTTGCTAGAAAATTATTTTTATATACCGAAAATGGGGATCAAAGCACAAACTAATCCAAATTTTAATATCAAGTTGATACTTTCAATAAAACTGTGATTCCAAAAAATTTATAATTATACGAAAACGATTCTACGAAAACCGATCTATTGAAAATTTGATAGGAAATTCTGTACAGAATTCCACAAAATTTCTGTAGAAATTTCACATTTTGTAGGTTTTTAAAATTTTAAATAACCTATAAATTTTAATGAAAATCAAAGAAATTTTCAGGAACTTTTTTTTTGGGTTGGCAACAGTTTTTAAAATTTAATGAATTTACAAAAATGTGGAATAGTTTTGCAGAAATATTACGGAACTTCGTATATGGAAATTTTGTGAAGCTGTTTCCGTAGAATCGTTTCACGTAGGTCATCAAAATATATTTATAAATAATTTATTATATACCCGACGCGAAATTTAAGCCCTCATTTTCGCCCAAAATGTAGGATTTATTTAGGTTTTAGCAGTCGTAACGTGGAATCTGATTCCAATGCAATTAGTTAAAATTAGACCCTCATCCTTTGACTCCAAAAAGTGGCTGTTTCCCAATCTTCTATTTGGAGAAGTGAAGCAATAAGTATTAGGGTCTAGTTCGAGCTTTATAAACTTTGTATACCCTATACCCTATATATATATAATAAAAACAGCCAATACAATGTGCTAGTATTAGCCCATTGTCAATCATTAGTTGGTGAAGCAAACCTTATGAGAACTTGCACAGCAACCTTACAAAGAATTCATTTAGTTAGATCACTTGAAATTTACATGGCAAATGTTTACACGGAAAATTGTTTCCGTGCGCTGTATAGTTTTATAAGTCATTTAGGGCACTATATTTTTCAAGCACCTTCACTATAAGTAAAGTAATAATGTACTAAAAGTTTGCACCAAATTTTAAGAAAACTGACTAAATAAACTTTTATAAAAGGCGGGACATTTTTATACAGATGTAAAGTTTGGTGCAAACTTATACTGACAACTTCCTCAGAAATATTGTGTTATGGAAAATTTACAAATCCACTGCTATAAGTTTTGGCATAAAGTAGACTCCAGTTCAACCCTTTGCGTACACCCTACATTCAACCTCCTAAACCCTATTGTATTGTAAACCTCGTGTAACAGTGCAAACGCATAAAGTATTACAAATCGTCAAATACTGATGTGTTTCAGTTTTACTCATTCCAAGTGCTTCAATTCAGATCTGAGGAAATCATATTATACAAAGTCAATTTAGGATTTAAATGCATTGCAATCATAACTTATTTGCAATTGGTAAAACCTAAATAATATACACATTTCTAGTTGAAAATATTAAGACTTTAATTTTTTCTCGGGAAACTATCTATATTTAAATATAACCTAACAAATTGCACAAGTACCAGGAAAAAAGAAGGAGGATACAATAGATCCCTGAAATTGGCATTGACGCTCAACATATCAAATACTATGTATTGTTTAGTGATTTAATAATGTATAACCTACAGCATCTCACTGCCTTCCATTCACTAATCAAAGATTAGCCCTAAGCATAATACAATCGCAAACGATATTGTGATCATTATTCTTAAATTTTCCATTGCACTGTTTCAGGTCAAAATCCTTTAAAAAATGATTTACTTTTTCTGTCCAATTCTATATACTATATATCCTCACTATATATTCTGCTTTAAAAATTAGTTGTACATGTTGCATATTCAGGATACTTATGTATAATATTATTATACAAGTCGTATATATGCTTCTCACTTCTTTATGATTCTTTCAAATATGTATATGCTAACATTATAAGAGAAAATTTATGTCCAATAATTACTTTTCTACTGAGTTTGAATTAGTGCTTTTCACCTGAAACGGAAAATATATTATTAAAAGGGTAGAACGTTTGCTACAAATAATGTTGAGTCGCCAGCTCAAATGCTACCGCAGGCGCGTACCATACCTTAATGAATATTCTATATGTTTATTGCAAGTTTTTGAAAAATAATTTTTTGATTAAATAATAAAATTTGACTTACCACCACATAGATCCTCGACCCCTGTTTTTATTTCTACTGATCTCAGCTGGTAACGTGGGCATCGTTACCGCGAGTGCGCTGAGTACCAGCCAAAGTCTCATGTTCATCAACTCGTCACAAACTTGAGATTTTTTACTCGCTTAGTATAATTTCACCGCTCACCAAACAGCACTCACAAGTGTTTTAAATTTCGAATCAACATTGTTAAGTGTCATCGAAGCTCCTGCTTCATATACAGTACTGCACTAAAAAGTTAATATTTGTTTCTACAAATTTAAAACACATTTCGGAATTTTGATAGTGAACAAATCGGCGGATGGCATTTAGAACATCTAAAAATTGATGATTGTCACAAAAATTTATTTAACTATTACTAACTGCATCACTTTTCACATAACACGATTATTACTTGATTCACTGCAGGTGTTGTATAAGTGCAATTAATTTTTCTTTGAGAAGAATCGTTGATCTACTGGAAGTCTCTGTCTCACTGTTTGCTCCGTGGAGTAGATGTGCACCCCAAGTAAATCAGGGGTGCCTCCTTGATTAAGCCAATGGACGTAGGGTATTTGCGGGTGCCAGCCCTCAGTTGATGACCAGAGGACTTTCAATCTGTTGCCTCAATTAAAACTATTGCTTACTCACTTCAGTATTGTCTTTTTTTATGGACGTAATTTTTTCTCGAAATAAATTTTAAAAGATAAATAATTATAATAATCTGTTACAAAGCGAGCTACTTTAAATTACAATGTCAGTACAATCCGTCTGTACAACGCACATTGAAGAAACGATCTCGACTATCGACTGCACGCGTCAGTCCGCAGAAAAGTTGATCTCACGAGAGACCCAACCCCCACTAAGGTCCACAAGACCCCCGAGAAAGAGAGATCGAAACTTGCTCCGCCTCTTAGTCCAGCCCTCTTCTCCTTTTCACTAATCACATTTTCCCAACCAAGTAATTCACTTATAACTATTTTCCTTTAATTATTTTTTATAACATGTTAGAAACACAAGTTCATTTAAAATATTATCCACTATATAGGGAATAAAATTTTATGACAGAGTACTGCATGTTATTATTACCAAAGTCAGTTGCAGTCATTTACTATCCATACAATCTTTTATTACTTTGCTATCTAATAAGCTTTAAAGCAGAACGCGATCCAATTTGTTGGTAGGGACAACTATTTCTCAGATAACTAATTCAAAATTTTAACCATGCATTATTTCCGTAAAAGTTATTAGGATATCTTTTCGTTTGGATCCTATACATTATAACCAATAATTGGATATGGTTTAATCAATTTATTTTCTCACGCTCCAGACACCAATAAATCGCATGTATTTCATCAGTTTTCTGAGTGCTAAATCTCGCGATTAAAATAATTTTACATTGACTGCAAAAATTACAGTTTAAAATTCCCCATCTTCCGCCTTAATAAGATATATACGTATAGAAAAAAAAACTATACTCAAAATGAGTATCATATGATACTCATTTTGAAGTGCAACAAAAATGATACCCCTTCGACTCATTCTGAGTTTCTGGGGAAAATACTCGAAATGAGTAAAAAGCGGTATCATTTTGGGTTTATGATAAAATTACAATAACATTGGAATAACTGTGAATAATTCATAAAAATATGAATTAAAATAATTGTTTATAATGAATAAACACTTTGCACTTGTCAAAACATTAATACTTGAAGTCGATTTATCGCATTTATGAGAAATGAAAAACGAATTTTTAGGTTAGACACTTGTGAATTGACTGACTCCGTTTACACCTTAAATTCAGCCTCAAAAATAGGCTGAAAGTAAGACTTTTTTTTAGTGTGTAGTTTCGTAACAAACGCTGTATCCGCTACTCAGTAACGCAGTTTTGTAAAATTGCTAAAATTTATGTTTTCCGTGTATGTTTATAATAATAAGATTTGCATTTTGTATATATACCCTATACTTTCATAATTCTAGAACCATTTTTGACACTTTAATTAAAGCTTGTACTCTTTGCAATGACCCAATGGGAAAAGTACAATTGACGAAGTACTCTATACACTGAAAAAAATATATTTGTGGTACTGCCATAAATATAGCCATCAATTCTCACATATTATATTGGTATATGGATATGGAACTGCCATACAGTATTGCTGTTTCAGGTATATATACACACACACATATACTTTATCAGACATTTTTCTCGTAAAATTAAATGAGAAAAGGCAAAATTTTTTACTTTTAAAAAATTAATTTTAAAAAACATTTGGAAATTAGTAGAAAAGTGCGAGGTTAGATCTCTTCCAAAATCTTACAATTTCCGTTTGTGTTTTATAATATATAGTTAATTTGTAAATTATCAAAACTTTTGCATATCACATATTTTGATCTTTCCAATCATATATTTAACGCATTTTTTAACAAAATCCAAGATTAATAAATTTATTATTTTCAAATAAAAAAGTGTTATACAAATTAGCACTATGCGCAGTGATCACATTAGCTGCAAAGGAAAATGTTTTTTTAAGGAAATAAATAAAAATAAGCTTTTAAGTGTAATGTTTTATTCTCTACTACATATGTAATGTATACATCCAACCCCTTGTGTGCCGATGACAAGGATTTTAACCGACAAATCTTTGCAATTGTATACTTAGTGAAGGGTAAATATTCGATTTAATAATCTTAAACTTTCTCAAAAAAACTTTATAATTTGCATACCTACTTAATTTATACATGTCCTTAAGAATAAACATTTGATGATTCCATTTTTTCTTAATTTATGTTTATGTATAGAGAACTCTATACAAAGCTCATCTTTTCTCATTAAAAAATGAAATTAATTACATATATGTATATATAGTGTACATGAAGCGTAATTGACGTGAAAATATCCACTTGAAATTAAATTAAAGACCTGTTAACACGTCTTCGCGATATATACTGGTGTAGCAAACAGAACCAATTAGTTGACACTAATTCAAGCACGTGGTTTATGAAAGGAAAGTGTAGGAGGGCCGTAAATAAGTCCCGCCTACAATGACCCTCTCCAGTTGAACATCGTCGAACAAGAATCTTTTGTTCATACTCACAACATATTCGACCTGCATTCTTGTAAAATACATATATCTTTACATAGATATCTTCACGCTTTCATTCCCTCTAATTCAAACTCAAAATTAAAGCTCGTCCTCTTGCTACCTCCACCAGAACATCGCTTTCTTCTTTTCTTCCGTCTTTCTTGATTTTTATTTATTTTTTTCTTTTTTTGGGCTATGAGCACTCTACAGCCCAGTTGACGAGAATGCATGAATCAAGTTGGGAGAACGTGTGTGGGAACCGAACGGAAGACGGAATGCGAGCGTAGCTATGGACCCCGAGGGCTTTTTCCTCTCTCAGGATTGCATTGCGTGGAACGGTCCTCTTGCAAATTCTCTTCTCACAATCGCCCTCTAAAGCTTTCTTAATAAATTCAATTCAATTTTCAATTTCTTGTAAAGGTTACTCAATCCTTCCAACATTTTTTTCATTTTTTCATCCTCTAACTATATATATATATTGTCCTAATGCTATTGATTCATCTGTTCAATAGATTGCTGTTCTTTTCAAGTCTGAATTAGTGAAAAATAGAACACTAATTGACATTAATATTCGCCCAAATGCAAAACGCCAAGACTATGCAAAAACAGCCATTCAATGGTCCAGATTAGGAGTCCCTATTATGGCATAAAACACCTTACCAGATCTGGCCCTGATCTTTGCCAAAATATGCGGTTGTTGAATCTCTAAGGGCAAAATATAATTGTCAGTGATGGGACGAAGCTCGACCCAGTAATGGCTCATTAATGGCAAAATTTTGTATCTTTGATGAAAAGTTATAAGTGCCAACAATTGCACGAAATTTGGCCCTGTAATGGCACATTAATGGCTAAAATTTTGTATCTATCACGGCAAATTATAAATGCCAATATTGGGAGGTATAGCTCTGCCCAATATTGTAAATTAATTAGTTAATTAATTGAAAAATATAATTATTTTTATTATTTTTGTATTTTTACAATAATTCATTAATTATTCCGAGTCGAAATTTAAGCCCTTCTTTCCTTCTAAAATGTAGGGTGTAGGAGTATGAAAGTAATAGCTAGGGTATACGAGGTTTATAAAGTAGAGGACACCAAGTTCGAACTAGACCCTGCACTTTACTCCTCCAAATGGAAGATTGAGAAATTTCCGCCAATTTTTAGAGTCAAGGAAGGGTTTAATTTTAACTAACTGCACTGGAATCAGACCCTTCGTTACGACTGCTAAAACCTAAACAAACCCTACATTTTGGGCTACCAGGAGAACTTGAATTTCAACTCGGGATTACTTTGGTATAATGAAAATATTACAAAACTGTTCCAAACTGTGTATTAGCAATACATTTGTTTAGTTGATTCAACTGAAATTTATTGGTTGTTTCAAGCATATTTTGCAGGGGAGAGTCGTCGGGTAAGTTCGACTGTCGGCTAAGTCTGTTTTCTTAATAAATTTTTTATAATAACGAAAATATTTAACATAAGCGACAAAATGAAAATTGTTCCATTCAGAAAAAGGATTGGAATTAATCAATGTCTTCATTAATAAATGATCTAAATAACTGTCCCTTTTTTGGAAATTTTGACCCTCCCTCTCCCCCATGTAGCACACTGTTAAACATACGTTAGCGCCATTTTTCCTCCACCACTAAGTGTATGCAAGTTTACAAAACAATTGCTAAAGTAAACATATTAATGTAATGCAAATATTAAGTGATATATTTTTAAATGTCTTTCTTTGTATATAGTTTTAGTAAAAAGGATTAATTAGAAGAAAATAATAAAGAAAAGAAAGACATAAGACAATAAAAAACTAGCAAGGAGATGAAAGGAAAATATTGAAGTAAAGATCTAAAGGAATATGTATACTGAGGTGGAGGAAAGATGAAGTATCTCGTAAATCATGTTTCAGACTCAGAATAGGTGTAAATGAAGATATGAGCTTCAGGCATAGTCTGGACCACCCACCACCTTGTTCACACTTAGACAAGCAGAGGTGAATTGAAAGATTAAATGTTTAGAAATACATACATGAGAATACATATATAATATAATATATAATGAAAAGTTCCGATGCATATATATATATATATATATATATTATATATTCAGTACACTTCACGTTTCAAAAAAATTTTGACTTTCGAATTCCTCATATCGATTCCAAAAATAATCAAAACCGAACTATACAGAAAGAACATGGTGAAATGTTTGTTGTATATCCCAATGGGAAATTGCCAATGCTCACCATTGGCTAAATAATGGACCAATATTGGCTGCCAACAGTTTTTTCTTGGTCAAACATTGGCAACCAATATTGGGCCACTATTGCCAGAGTCTTGGGATGATCACGACTTTGCCAAGCATTGGCAGCCAATATTGGATCAATATTGGCTGCCAAGACAAATGCCGGACTTTCCAAGCGTATTGGATATTCATTGGCAACAAATATTGGACCAATATTAGTGACCAATTAATTACCAATGCTTTAAATTGAATTAATGCTTGGTTATTTATTGGTTACCAATACTGAACCAATGTTTGAAATCAATATTTTACAAATACCAACAAATATCAAAAATTTTTCAAAAAAAAAATTGAATTACTAATCTAGAGAAGGAAAAGTAATTAATTTAATTAGAACACTCTGTTAAAAACAGAATGTGATAAAAATCAGACAAAGATAATATTTGTCTAAGTTCGAGAATGCAAGCGTCTCTCCTTATATAGAACTGGTAACACAACTTGCTGGTGAGTGAAAGAAGCTCTGGCGCACCCTG